TTTTTTGGGATTTTTTTTTTTTTTTTTTTTTCAAGTATCGATTTGGCACCGGTATCATAAAAAAAAAAAACCATACCCAACCCTATTCTAAAGTGTAACCAAAATATCAAAGTTGATCTTTTCCATAAAATACAAATGCATGATGGTCACTGGCTGTCAAAAAAAACAACAGAATAAACCAAACAAAACCAAACCAGAACAAGCAAGCCGGTCACACTTTATTTTAAGGTCCAATTCTCGCTATTAACAAACTAATAACTAAGACTTTTGCCTCAATAAACTACTAATTTGCTGCTTATTAATATTTAGTAAGGTAGTTGTTAAGGTTAGGTACGGGGTAGGATTAGGGATGTAGAATATGGTCATGCAGAATATGTGCTTTATAACTACTAATAAACAGCCAATATGTTAAAACAGGCACGCTAATAAGCAACTAGTTAATGAAAATTGGTCCCTATACTAAAGTGTTACCAGCAAACCAAACCAAACCGAGTTTTCAGCTACCAACTCTCAACAAATTTGACCAAAATTAAATTTGGGCCAGCCAACAACAGTGAATATAATATCTTTGAGTGTTTGACACAATCATACCATGTGCCCGAAGAAGAGCCTCTGCGGTGAAGAGAGGAGCTTGCAACATATCTGCCGTCTCAACTATCAACATGTCCTTCAGTCTCCTGAGGTCCTGCACTCGCAAACCTTCATAAAACTGAAACGCAGTCACACGGTTACGTGTTAAACATTGAATCAAGAGCGAAATCAGTATTCAGACATCTGCATCAAACTCTTCTATTTTTATTGGTCTAAAAAATGCAGATTAAAATCCGACACATCTGGACACCAGGGCTTGAGACAAATGTTAATGTCACAAGAAAATCCAGAGTTTATTTGGAGAGCTCACCTCCCTGCGGTCTAAGGCTGCATACTCTGCCTCAATATCCTCTGCATGGGGGTCACTGGAGAAGACCATCTGAGACTCCAGACTGAGTGCAAGCTCCTTATGGTGCTGCCTTTCTGCACAGTCACATGGGGTCTCCTTGTTTTCATTCTCTGCAAACAGGTCTGCACCACGCTTCACCAGAAACTGCAGGAAGAGGGAAATACTGTTAATATACAAAGGAAAGATCAATAGAACATAAAACATTTTTTTGTGAAATGTAGATGTGGAAGAATTTTTTGTGTGTTTGAGTTCAGGTAAAGTATTGAAGATCAATTCCAGGAAGTTTCAAAACATAAATCAGTTATATTTTACAATAAAGTTATATATGTTAACATCAGTTAATGCAACAATCAACATGAAACAATTAATAAAAAACGTTACAGCATTTATTCATCTAATTTTAATCTAAATTGCCTTTTTTATTTGTATATACCTGAATACATTTGAACTTTTCAAGATGTATAAATTATTTAAAATTAGTTCACCTGTTATGAACATGAACTAACAATGAACAATCGTATATTTATTATTTAACATTACCTATAAAATAATTAAAAGAAAAGCATGCTGTTCAATGCATTTATGTATAATGTATTAACTAATGTTAACCTTATTGAACCCTTATTATAAAGTGTTACCCAATAAACACTTTTTAGAATAAAAACTGTTTAATCATTTCTATTGTCAAAACAAAGATTCCCAAATGTTCCAGATCAGGGATCTCAATTTCAAATCACCTTGTGCCAACTAGCCAGGTGGTCAAAAAAGGTAACCCAATGAAATGGAGATAGGGGTGTGCAATATGATATTAACATGAACGATTAAAATGTCTCCACAGTTTTGCCATTACAGAGAGATTCCTAGTGCTGCACCTATTCTGGTGTAGTCAGGTGCTGTGTCCAAAAATTGTTTCCTATTCACTATATCGAGTTCACTATATGGAAAGAGTGAATCAGAATGATTTTGGACACAACTGTGTCTGTATGTATCGACAGTGTTTGATAATCGTGCTACATGTACCTCCACACACGTCTTCATCCCTGAGGCAGCAGCGTAGTGTAGTGGTGTGTTTTTCTTGTTATCGGTGGCACTGACGTCAGCACTCTCATATTCACCACGGTCCAGTTTGGCGCCGGTCCACTTTAGGATCATCTGGAGGCACTCAGCCCGTCTGCGTTCATCTTCATAGGGACGGGCTAGTCGCGGCTGCAGCACCCCTTCGGATAGCAAGATATTTGGCCCCATGCATAACACATGCAGTGTGGTCTCATTGTGCATGTTACGTTTGTTGGGGTTCCCGTCCTTGCTGAAGAGGAAGGACCTGTGAAATTATGGCATGGTGGATGACAAATGAAAACAAAATTAGCAGTCATTGGTTCTCAATTGGTTTTGCTTTAAGAAACCAGATTTTAGGGATGTATTGATAATGAAATTCTGACAATAACAATATGCCAATGATTATTTTTACACCACCCCCATACAGAACATATAACTTTCCAAAAGCAAACTAACATGAGTCTCTTTCCAACAACTATAAATTTTGAGCAACACTGGCCTGCTGATTCAGACCCAGAATCTTCAGCACATTTGCAGTTGAAACAGCTGTTTTGCCTTAAAATAACTTTCAAAGATTGGCCCCTAAAACTCCACACTTTTTAGGCCAAAGAGTTTCACACTGGGCAGGAAAAACAGCAGAATGTGATGATTTGTGTACATGATCGGAGTACTTCTAACAGTTTGAAAGCATTTAAGAACCAAGGAAATGTTGTATCATTTATAAAATTCTGCTTGGAGCCTGACAGATGTGTGTGTCAGATTCAAATGTTTTGCGGGTCATTGAAATATAAGAGTGTCTGTAATAAGGAAATGGAATAATTTTGCTTAAAACCAAATTCTTCAAAATCTTCTCTCTGTATTCATGTTGGTTTCATATGGCTTTGAAAATATATATACCATTTCCAATAAAGGTTATAGTTTAATGACACTAAAAATGTCATGAGGTATTGAAGGGATAGTTCACCCAAAAATGCAAATTCTGTCATTAATTAGGCCTACTCATTAATTACTTATAATTACCTCATGTGGTTCCAAACCCGTAAAACCTTTTTGATGAAGATTTTTGATGAAATCCGAGAGTTTTCTGACCCTGCATAGACATCAATGCAACTGAAATGTTTCCAAGCCCAGAAATGTAGTAAGGACATAGGTAAAACAGTTCGTGACATCAGTGGTTCAATTGGAATTTTACGAAGTTACGAGAATACTTTTTGTGTGCAAAGAAACAAAAATAAAGATTTTATTCAACAATACTTCTCCTCCTCATCCCGTCTGCCACCATTTTGGAGAGTACCACGACGCATGCGCGTGCTTTACACTGTATGTAAACAACACAACAAACAACACGTCATGGTTCTATCCAAAATGGCAGAAGACAGTAACTCAGGGGAGAAGAACTGATGAATAAAGTCATTATTTTTCTTTTCTTTTCACACAAAAAGTATTCTCATAGCTTCGTTAATTACGGTTACCACTAATGTCACATGGACTATTTTACCAATGTCCTTACTACCTTTCTGGGCCTGGGAACATTTCAGTTGCGTTGCTGTCTATGTGGGGTCAGAAAGCTCTCAGATTTCATCAAAAATATCTTAAATTTGTGTTCAGAAGATGAACGAAGGTCTTACAGATTTGGAACAACATGAGGGTGAGTAATTAATGACAGAATTTTCATTTTTGGGTGAACTATCTCTTTAACTAGCGGTGCTCCGATTGATCGGCTACCGATCACTATCGGCCGATAAAGGCCGATCTAAAAAAAAAAACGATCTCAAGCTGATGATGCTGCCGTGAGAGGTTTGGCATAGCATGCAGCGGCACTGTCTCAGCCTCTGTCCGGCGCGGGTGAAATAATTATAATTCTATATTTCTTCATTAAATAACTTAATAATAAAGTAATTTGAAAACCTTGTGTGAGACGTAACTTCACAAACAGCGTGAGTGAATCGCCACACGCTCTCTCTCACTTTCTTTCTTTCTCTCTCAAAATACGCAAATGGCTTCAAATCACCACACACAGGAATTGTCACTTGCACAATCGAGGCAGTGTCACATCGTCACT